ACACACACACACACACACACACACACACACACACACACACACACACAAACTGGGACTTACCACAGTCTCTGAATGTTACAGCCTGGGTGCTGGAGGGCCTCACACAGTACCCTCATGCCCGGATCCCCCAGAGTGTTGTCACTGAGGTCCAGCTCAGTGAGGTTCTGGTTGGAGCTTAGAGTGGAGAAGAGGCCTCGGCAGAAGCTAGACGTGAGACAGCAGTTCACCAGTCTAGAATGGCAAGGAAGGACAGAAGAGAACAGTGGTTTCTAGTAACGACAAATTGGACAGGAGTCCTGGCACCTGCTCACAGAAAAGTCTCCTACATGTCACGACACCAATCGTGGATCCACTGTCCGTTCAGAGAGGAGGGAAGTGGGCTGGTGAGCCTTGGGAGCAGAGGCTCTTTTTGAGATGCAGAGAAGTAAGCCTTTGGCTTACTGCAAGCACCTCAGTTGCCTCCTTTCCACATTAGACAACTGTTGTGACCCTGGCCCGGACATGCAGCTAATAGCCGGACATGCAGCTATGTGGCCTAAGCAGCAACTCTCACTCAGACTGCCCACGTGCGTCAGGAGTGCTGTTAAAATCCTGACGCCAGGCTGCAACCACAGAGGTAAAATCTGAGTCATAAAAGAGAGACCCATCTACATTGGCAGTATTTAATTAATTAGTTAGTTAATTAATTAATTAATACATTATTCTGTCTGCCTTTGTGCCTACACGCCAGAAGAGGTCATGAGATCTCACTATAGATGGTTGGGAGCCACCGTGTGGGTGCTGGGAATTGAACTCAGGACCTCTGGAAGAGCAGCCAGCGCTCTTAACCTCTGAGCCATGTCTCCAGCCCTGCAGTGTTTTCTTTTATAGTCATTTCCAGGGATTCACTTTGGAAGACCCCATGGCCCTTATTCAGATGCAGAGAGTCTGAGAAATGGAAATGGAGCGCAATTGGTAGAATGATCACTAGCACATTTGAGGCCCTGGATTTGGTCCCTAACACTGTGTGACAACAGAGCACATTTGTCAACACCTGCAACCCTAGTACTCAGAACATGGATGCAAGAAGATAAAAGGCTCAAGGTCATTCTCAGTTACATAAGGACTTCAAGTTCAGGGCTAGCTTGGGCTACACAAACCCTAGCTTAAAAAAATATGGTGGATATGCGCTTAGCTAGTCCTCTTGGAAGGTTCAGCAAGAAGCAGAGAAAGCCTCAGCCTTGTAAGGAAAATGTCTGTTAGCTAAAGTAATGGATCCTCCTTCTCATCAGGGGCTTTAGCACAGTCCCTGCCTTCTTCATCCGTGTGTGGTCATAGTCAGGCCTCTCATCCTCTCTCCACCTTGTGTTAGGACCCTGCAGAGCAAGCCTGCCTCCTTCTCCTATCTCCTTTCTCTTCCCCTCTCCCACTGGGGTGGTCTGGATGTTCACCCTACCCTTCAGAAACTCAGATGGACACCCTCATCTCAGAGTGATGGGATCGGGAGATGGTTGGCTGAGCGGGCAGAGCCTCATAGAGAGTAGCAGCACCTAGTGGAAGAGAGAGCCGGGGCATTGCTCTCCTCCTCCCAGCAGGTACAAGCATCATGTGGGGCCCTCTGTCTTTAGACCGTTTGTCTTCAAAAATAACCTAGTCTCGGGCATCCATTACAGCAGCATGGATTGAAGCAAGATGGTATGCTAGAGCTACCCATAGAATACAAGCAGTGGAAGCTTACAAACATTTCCACGCAATGCCACAGTCCACCTGATACCTTGTGGGCTGAAGTGAGAGTCTCCCCGCATGCTTGTTTGTTAGTTTTGTTTCTCGATCCCATTTATCCACTTAGCAAAAGTCACTCTCTACCAACGAAAGGGTGGCAGGCACATTCTCACAAGGCTTGGCAACTATATTTGGAAAATAATCGGAAAGAGAACCAAGAAAAGTAGCCAGAAAGCATATGGCACATGCTACCATCTGCCTGAAGCCAAATTTTCTTACCTAGAAGAACAGCCAGCATGAGGGTCTGGAGAAACATACTGGACGTGGCTCAAGTGTTGACTTCCTCCCCGCTCTTCTTCTTCCTCCTTGGGTGAGTTGTGGAGAAACCCCAGGGAAAGGGTTTTTACCCTATGACAGTTTTTGATACAAAAGGAAGAAACTACATGATCCATTCTGGTTGAGAGGTTGATCTCAATTTTGGGAAAGTGGTCCATAGCGCTCTGCACAAAGTCTTCCTCCTGCATCTCATACAAACAGTAGAACAGTTCCAGCTGGCTGGGCTGCCTCTGCAGCTTCTTGGCCTTGGCTTTCTCTTCAATCCATCTCAGCAGTTCCAGTCTGACTTGCTGAGAGATCTTGCAACTTAATTTCTTCTCCAAGTAGGAGGTTCTCTCCTGGTTTACAAGGCCAAAGAGAAAACGGACAACGAAAATCAGATAGCCCTTTTCAAACTTGCCGTAATTTTCTAGGAGAACCTTCACATCTCTGTTCAGGAGATCTGAACAGCCTGCTGGTCTCTTCCTGGCGGCCACCCCCTCTTCCTCCTCTTCCAGCAAATAGTACATAGCAGCGAAGAACTCCTGGAAAGTCATGTGGCTAAAGCTGTAGAATTGCTCACAGTCCACTTCCTTCTGGAACACGTTCATCCTCAGGAATGCAGAGACATCTGTCTTCTGCAGGCCATGTGTCCTCAGATCACACTCCTCAAAAAGGATTTTCTGGTTCCAAATTCCATCTGCAGCCAAGGAGCAGAGCCCCTGCAGGTGGACAGAGAAGAGGTGCTCCTCGGTGCCCGCCCGGGATTGCAACAGGCTGGAAAGGAAGAAGACGTAGACGGCTGTTGTGGTCTTGGAGGTCTGGGCCAGGCTCTTCCCAGCCTCCATCTGTTGCTTCAGCCCCGTGCACACAATCCAGCAGACCAGGGGGATGAAGCACATGGTAAAGAGAATCTCGTTCTCCTCGATCAGCCTGAAGGCCTCTCTGGCCTGCAGCTCATTTGAGAAATACTTAAAGAAATACTCCTTCCTCTTGGCCTCAGAGAAGCCTAGGATCTCCACGTGGCGGGGGCGATCCAGCAGGTGCTGCAGCTTCTCCAAGGCCGCCGGCCTCGTGGTGATGAGCAGGCAGGCCTTGGGCAGCAGCTTCTTTCGGATGAGGCTACTCAGCAGAATGTCTCCCCTCACAGCCTTCTGCCAGTCTGTGCAGACCTCCACAATGTGCTCATCAAAGGCTCCCTGCAGCTCATCGAAGCCGTCTATGAGGAAGAGGATCCTGGAAGGCTTGTTCAGTATCTTACACACTGGTGGGTTTGGGTCAGGCCAGCAGCTGACGATCAGGTCTCCCAGGCTCTTTGGTGTCCTGAGGCTCACCTCTCGACAGTGGATAAAAAACAAATAATCAAATTTATCCTTGAAGAGCTTCCCGGATGCCCAGTCCAACATGATCTTCCGGGCTAGTATCGTTTTCCCGATGCCTGCTGCCCCCTGGAACACCACTGTACGCACAGGCCCTGAGTGCTCATCCTCAGGCTCAAACAGCAACTCCAGCTCAATGGAACTCATGGGTCTGTCCCACATTTTAGTCCTGCCAAAGTGCAGCAGTTCATCCTCCCTCTCCTGCTTGCTTGGATGCTCCTTGACCAGCTGCAGCTGAGTGTAGCGTTTGTTGATGTCCACACGCTCACCCAGACGTGCATTCCTATCTTTGATACAGTAGAATCTGCTTCTCACATGTCTTCTGTACATCTTATGGTAATCTGCAGCAGAGACAAAAAGGTAGATTTCAGGACAAGCCCACGCCCATCTATTCCCCAACAATAAGCTATTAGTGGGCCTATGCTCTTCCAGGAGGGACACTGAGAATTGTGAGGATTCAAGGACAACAACAACAACAACAAAAAACATGCAAGGAGTACTGACTGTCAACTGGAGCGCAATGTGCTCAGCAAACATGCGACTGCATACGGCGAGGTGTACTCATTGATGCAATAGTGGTATGACTGTCGTCGCAGTAACCAGCCATTTCATGCTTGGATGTGAAGCCTACTCCAAAGACGGGGATTCACACCTGGTACTGAGAACCCAGTCAAAAGCCTGTGTGGCTGGGGCTCATAAACCGTAGTAGCAATGCGTTCTCCAGGTATCTCATTGTAACTATTACTGTTTTCCAAATGTGTGTGTGGGCAACATAAAATGCAAATATATATTAAAACATGTCTGTGTGCCTAAAAGGAAAACCAGTGGCTTATGCTCTAGAGGAAGGTAACAACCGGGTTAGAAAAATAGGAGGTATAATTCTTCCCCAAAGAATATCAGGTCCCCAAAATTCAGATGTCAATCACTTCCCACTCATGATAGGGCACTGTGGGCACTGCCTCCAGCCAGAAAGTCTGCTATTTAAGCCCTATACTTTTAGTCTGAAGCCTATATCTACCTGTAGTAAACCTCTTTGGGGACTTTAGGAAAACATGTGACTGTGCGTCTGCTTCTTTAGCTGAAGCGCATTTCCCGAGGTAGGCCTTGTTCCCTGAGGTGGAGCCCTGTAGACTGCCCAAGCTTCCCTGCTTTCCAGTTCCTTAGCCTGCTGTTCCAAGACTAAAAACAAAGTTGAAAGCAGCAGCTCGATGCATACCTTTCTTTTTTTTACAAATTGAGATGTGGGAGAGATATCCCAGTAAGCCCATCCACTCCTCTTCAAGGCTGTCTTCCTGGCATTCCACAGAGAGATTGGAGGCACAGGCATCATCTAAACACAAAAGGAAAAAAAAACCACAAAGTACATCAAAAAGTCCTAAAACAGAGGATCGAATCGAGCCTGAAAGGGTTAGACTAACTTTGTAACCTGTATGTCTTCTAATGCCTATAGTTTTGAGTTTTAGGTCCAGGTTAAGCTAAAGCCGCTTAGTACCTTTCCAGAGAATGGAGAAATGTGACCCTATCTGTGAGGACAGATAGAAAAAAAAGCAAGTAAGCAATGACCTTCACTCAGCAAAAAGAATAGTGTTTCTTAGCAACGAACCCAGACTTCTTCTGAGTAGCTTTTGACCTCCAGCCAAAAGTCCACAGCCCCTAATCTTCAAGGATGAGCTAACCACCTCCACCTTATATTGCAGCTGCATCCACACTTGGCAGGACTGGCCAAGCTTGAGCACCTAAGACTAACCAATTATCTTACTTTATAGCTTCCTCATCCAATCCTAAATTGCCAAGACTTCAACTTCAAATCTCCTGCAATTTTTCTTTTAAAAACCTAAAGGCCTTTGTCTCCAGGTGCCACTCTTTGCTGACTGGCAGGGGTGACCCCATTGCGCAATGGTTAATAAACCTCTTGCTTTTGCAACGAGTCTTGGTCTAGGGGAGTTTCTGGGAAGGGCATGATCTTGAACTCCTGAGCTGTGAGACCCCAGGTCTTACAAGCCTAGTCTATGGGTAGGTCAAAGGCTCCTACCCCATATTCCTTCTGAATTAAACATGGCTTAGCCAGGCAGGACAGCACATACCTTTAATCTCAGCACTTGGGAGATAGAGGCAGAAATATCACAACTTCAGAGTTATCCTCAGCTACATAGTGAGTTCAAGGCCAGCCTGGGCTACATGTCTCAAAGAGGAAAAACAAAGAAAAATTTAAAAAAAGAAAAGAAAGAAAAAAAAAGTAGGTTAATAGTGTACTTTGTGGGTTCTTCTTTTATCTACTCTTCACCTCTTATCTTCTGCCCTTTCAACCTCCTAACTAGATAAGTAAAAGAGAGAGAGAGAGAAAGAGAGAGAGAAAGAGAGGAGAGGAAAGAGATACCTGAATAAAGTCAGAGGTTGGAGTGGGGGTGACAATATTGTTAGAGTGCTTTCTGCTCATTAGAGGCATCAAGCTCCTTGGGGTAAGTCTGATCTGTGCTGTCATATCCTGTGCTTTCTTGTCTCAATTTCTAGGTCTTCAGAAGTAAACACTGTCAGTCAGTCTACTCAAGTCATTCAGAACAATGACTAACTAAATTCACATTGAGAAGTTTAAAAATGGGGCTGGAGACATGGCTCAGAGGTTAAGAGCACTGGATGCTCTTCCAGAGGTCCTGAGTTCAACTCCCAGCAACCACATAGTGGCTCACAACCATCTATGAGGGATCTGGTGCCCTCTTCTGGTGTGCACGTGTACATGCAGGCAGAACACTGTACACATAAAATATAAATAAATCTTTAAAAAAAAAGAAAGAAAAGTTTAAAATGCTGAGTAGCACTCTACTCAAAGCAGTTCTTTTTCTCTTTTCTGAGACGTAGGAATCGTTATCCATGGAAGACTCCAAGCTGATTCCAACATGTACCTACCTACCAGCCAAGAAGCACAGACACAAATAATCTGGACTTTATTCCTGGAGGACTTTAGGAATGCAATAAAAGCCCCTACCAGAAAGACACATACAACAGATCAGGGACACAGGAACTTAAGGATAAGGCATGCACTCCTGTGGGTGTAAAATTATTTTGGAAGATAATGCCAGTTGGGAGATAATGCCAGTTGGGAGAGTGTCTTCCTAGCATGGGCGAGGTATATATCACATCACATAAGCCAGGAATCCTGTTAGTACACATTCCTAGCACCCAGGAAGTGAAGTCAGGAGGATCAGAAGCTCAAGGTTATTCTCAGCTACACAGGGAGTTTGAGATAAGCTTGGTATATGTGAGACCTTACCTAAAGAAGGAAGGACAGGAGAGAGGCAAGTGAAGAGAAAAGAAAGCACCACTAGCAATGAAATCACAAAACAGAGATCTAAGCATTCGTGCAAGCCACAATTCTCACTGAATGTCTCAACTTAACTCTCTCTTAATGTCTCACTTTAACCCTAAAAGGAGCTTCAAATACTGGTAATGATTTTTACACTTAAAAATCCAGATATGAAAGCTGACATCACAGGGCTATACTTCTATTATCTTGCTTGGCTTCATGCGTTGGCTATGGCTGGCTCTGATTGGGGAGCCCTGGGTAAACAGAACTTCTCCCTGGCTCATGCCATTCATTTGAAAGCATTATAGAACTAGTAACTACTTCATGGGATTATTGAGAGAAAAACAAAACCTAAAGAAACCCCAAAACAAAAAGCTGCCTAGTACAAGGGGCCTGGTGTGGTGGCTCAGTGATTAAGAGCACTTGTTACTCTTCCAGAGGACCTGGATTCAGTTCTCAGCACTCACATGGTGACTCACAACTATTTATAACTGCAGTTTCAGAAAATCTGATACCCTCTTCTGGCCTCCTCAAGTACCAAAACAAGCATAGTGCGCATACAGACAAGCAGGAAAACACTCACACATATAAAACAAATTTGTTTTTTGTTGTTTTTGTTTTTAGCTCTGGTCCCTCTTTAATACGTAGCCCTGGCTGTACTGGGACTTGTTTTGTAGACCAGGATGGCCTCTAGCTGACATAGATCCACCTGCTCCTGCCTCTCAAGTGCTAGGAGTAAAGGCGTGTGCCACAACATCTAACCCAAAAATAAATCTTAAAAAAACAACGAGAGAGAAGTGGCCCAGAGTAAAGGCACAAACCTGATGGCCCACATGGTAGAAAGAATCAGCTCCTACAAGATGTCCAATGACCTCCACATATGTGCCATTGCGCATACATATATGCACGCAAAACACGTAGCTAAAAACGTTTAATGTTTTAATATGACGACATCTGAAATTGCCCCGGAAGTGCTTCTGCTGCTAAGACTGATGCTTCACTCCGGTTGTATGCATTCTCAGCATAGCACAACTACAGTTGTGTCGTGATGTGCAATTTGATTGGCACACAGCTCCGACTCTTCCCCCTGTACCACCATTGCCTTGCTAAGCGCCTTTTCTTGTCTCCAACAAACCTAGTGGTGTAGGGATGGCACGCAGGGCCCTGTGTTTGTCAGGCTGCACTAGGTAGCCCCTCACCAGCATCCTTCTCTCAGGACTGATTCGCTGTGCTTGCTCCCTTCTGCCACTCCAACTCAGCATCCTCTGCCTGTGGCCTTCTGATCACCCCGGATCCCTTCTGCTGTTTTCCTTATTAAGAGCAGGCAAGCAACCGTGATGAGCTGGTCTGGAAACCAGCGGTGGACCTCATCACTAACCACACTCATAGAGCATGGTGTCAGCTACAACAGGCTCCTGGGAATAAGCGATTACTGCGACTGGGGATTTTACAGAATTAGAAAAAGCACACTGCTTCCTCCCACCCTCACATACCCCACTAGGAGAAGAGGAAAAGCAACGAAAATAAATTAACATTTTAAACATGCTAACTTTTGTGTAGCAAAGGACACAATCTCCCAGCACTCAGAAGGCAGAGAAAAAGCGGCTTCTGAGTTTGGGGCCAGCTTGAGTAGATTGCAAATTTGAGGCCAGCCTGGGATAGGTAAGACTAACTCAAAACCAAAGAAAGGAAGGCATTAATAAAGACAATTATTCATTGGCAAGAATAGACAAGCAAAATGTAATATGTGTGTGTGTGGTGTGTGTGTGTGTGTGTGTGTAGTGTGTGTGTGTGTGTGTGTGTGTGTTTGAATATTCACTATTAATCTTCTTTTGTTTTTGTTTGTTTGAGACAAGTTTTCTCTGTTCTGGACTCACTCTCTAGACCAGGCTGGCCTCGAACTCACAGAGATCTGCCTGCCTCTGCCTCCCAAGTGCTAGGATGAAAGGTGTGCACTACCACACCTGGCCCACCATCATTAATCTTTTTAAAGAAGGAGCTCTGATATACCTGAGGACATTATGCTAACTGAAATAAGGCAGCCACAAGAGAAAAACACTCATGATTCCACCTGTGTGATCCATAGCGGTAAAGTTCTCAGGGACAGAACTAGGTTGCTAGGCGATGGGGTTAGGTAACAGAGACGTATCATCTTGTGAGTTGGGAGCTTCCGTTGCGCAAGATGAAAAGCGCTCTGGAAGTTGGTTGCACAACAATATGAGTTTCTTTATTACTAAGACATATATGTCAAATTACTAGAATTCTACATTTTATGAGACGTACACTTTAAGAAAAACAAAAAACTCTTGTTCACTCACTCCACTCTGGCTGGTCCTTCTTAGCTTTTTCCCAGAGGTCTCGCCTGTTGATCGCTGCAAAGATCCACACAGCCATGGCCCATGCTTTCTCCTCCCCATTGAAGTCAATCATGAGTGTGGCTAGATCCAAATGGTCTGCCTTCTCCATCTGGCCCCGGGGGAGCGGGCTGCAGCCCTCCCCAGGTGGGTAGTCTTCCAAATGCATTTTGAATTTCTTGAGGTCCACATCTTCCAGGTCCTCTAGATACTGGGCCAGTTTGCAGCGGACACTGGGCATCTTCATCAGCAACCCTTCGGAGGGTCTTTGGGATTAGGTCTGCACTGACATAGCAAGAATGAAAACCCTGTATGGGTAAGAAGAATCTTACTAGAAGTCTCCGCTTCTAGAAGATGAAATTATCAGAAACTCAGAAAACTAAATGCTAATATTGAAACATTACAAGGTACCTCATAACTTGGTACAGGTCTTAAAGTTTCTTAACTCAGAAAACTCAAAGGAAAAGAAATATCGCTTGACCATCTGAATCACCATCTCTGATGTAATAAGTATTAAGTAAGCCAAATGCTTACCAGAAAGTTCTCTTAGCTTGATTCAGGACTATGTCCTGAGCCATGGAAGAAAAGTTCCTCTGTAGAGATAAACATAGATAAGCCATTAATACACTACAAAGAGAACAAGCGTTTACACGGGGTCACCAGAATTTGTCATGGAACCCATGGTTCCATGGTGACAAAACTGGGACCCAGACAGGCTCTTCACTATTTCTCAGTTTCAACTTCCTCATTTAGTCACTGCGAAAGCAGAAAAGATTGCTTTCAGGTTTCTTTTAATGGAAGGTTCTGGTTTCTTGTTCTATTTTCATCTGAAGGAAAGGAACAACAGAAGGAGAAAGCCAGGAGAAAATAAGCTTCAGTAATAACAGAGCAACAAAGACGAGGCCTCACAGCACAGACGGAGGACAGTCTTTCACTGCTCCCCTATTTCTCACTGATGGATAGAGCCTAATCAGGTGGAACTTAGGTTCATATAAAGGGAAAGACTAAACGCATACACCTCTTTAATGGCTCCTTGAAATTTTCACAAATATAATGAACATCATGATTCACATTCAGTAAGAACTGCTCGTGGCTAGATGCTGCCCTGATTATTTTTTTTTCCTCACCTAGTTTCTCAACTGAGGCATGTAGGTTCCTTCAGCTGAGTAGTAGAGACACTAAATGGCTTTCTCAGACTGAAGCTGTAAATGGTAGAGGAAGGGAAGGAGCCTGGAAAATGGTAATGGCCTCCAAATTGATATTTATATGACAGCAAGTTGATACATGAGGCACCTCAAGCTCACTGGTTCCTGTTGCGTTTCCATTCTTGCCTCTCCTCTCCCTGGCTCAGGCAGCACCTCATACCTCCTTTCATTCATCTCTCGTGCTTTCGCTGACAGCTGCCCCAGCTCTACAGAGCCTCCTAGATTTTTGATCCCTCAGTTCTTGGTTTGTTCCAGGATGTCTCAGTCCTCTGCTCCCTGCTACTGAGACCTGCCACAATGGCTCTGGTCTTTACTTAGCTGCCCCCTAGGCTTCAGCACATTCTCTCACAGGCATCCAGCTCTCTGGTGCCCTGAGTGGATGCCATTGAAGTCCTAAGAAGTTATCATTGCTTCTTCTGCACCCCCTTCCGCCTTCCCAACATGCACAAGTAACAGAAACAGAACATCCCAGAAATACTCTAAAGTTAGACTTAGAGTTTAGAAGAAATTCCTACTCTATTGATAAATCGTGCCATTAAATATAGCCTCCCATTCCTTCCCTGAATCTTTCATCCACACTGCTGCATGAAACGGTACTCACCCCGACACCAGCCTTAGATACAGATAAAGGGGAAATGAGGTGAATTTATAGGGCCACTGTGACACTGGAGGCAGGAAGGATGTGGCCTCGGGAAGGGAACAAGCTTGCATCACTGTCAAAGGCAGACTAACAGTTGCTCATCTGGATGGGTTTTCCAAACCCAAGCAATAGAGCTCTGAGTCTAAGCCTGGGCTGCAGACCAGAATTTCCCAGGTTCCTTGCAGAAGCATTAAGACACAGTAAAAGGTGAGGCCTAAGGGCTCAGCAACACTGTAAGCAGTCTAGGGACAGTGGGGACCCGGCAGAGAGGTACGGGAGCAGTGATGAGCAGACTTGGTATGTGGTATGTGAAACCCAGATCCCATTATCCTTCTCCTCTCATGGAGATGGTCAGTGGGCAGCTACACGTGTTTACCATTTCCTGCTCTCATTAAAGGAAGAGCTCCTACTCCATGACTTTTGAACTCACCTATCAGGTTGTCAGGTTGGCTGTGTCTCAGAAAAAGCCAAAGCACTTGGCCTTCTTGACCCCCGAAGAACAAGGGGAAAGATGTCCACATAGAGTTGCTTCCCTTGCTCCTCTTGGTGGCTGTAGGACCACAGCCTGACAAGGACAGGAGTTCCACCACCCTCCTGAGTTAGGCAGCTGCTCATACTAAACTACTGGTTAATGGCAGACCGGAACCTCAGAGACTGCAGATGAAGAGACAGAAACAACAAGAATTCAAATGCTAAAGATGGACAGGAAGCAGACCAGACATACTCAAGAAGACGGGAGCCCACTATCTCACCCTGAGAATTTTTTTAATAAGTGAGGTTGACTGAGCTATATTCTTCATGTAACAAAAATCCACATCTTCATAAAAGCTGATATATAGGTCAACAGAAGGCAGAAAGTACAAAGCTAAACCTGAGTTTATGTGAGCAACTGACCTTTAACAAGGACAACCAAGAACTTAAAAAGGAGAGGGTGATCTATTCAACAAATGTTCTCTCAGCCAGGTCCAGCGGTGCAAATCTGTAATTCTAGCTGCTTAGGAGGCTGAAGCAGGGAATTTCAAGTTCAAGGCCATCTTGGGCATCTTAGTGAGACCCTGACTCAAAAAGAGGAAAGGTTGAGCTGGGCATGGTAGTGCATGCCTGTGATTCCAGCATTTGGGGAAACAGAGGCAGAAGGATCTTTGTGAGTTTGAGGCCAGCCTAGTCTATAAAGCAAGTCCAGGACAGCCAAGGCTACACAAAGAAACCCTGTCTGGGAAAACAAACAAACAAACAAACAAGGGAATGTAATGTAGATAGACCTACAGGCAATTCAAATGGCAATTCATGTCCATTGAGCAAAACAACAGCAGCGGCTTCCTGATTAGAGCCTCTGGGGTCCCCAGCCATAGGTGTTTGACCATGTTTGTTATAATACTGGGTATGAATTCCCTCTTATGCGCAGGGCTCAAACCCAACAGGAAATTGTTTGGCTACCTCCTATAACTCATTCCACTATGACACCAGAAGACTCATCTTGCCTGGTTGGTCAATACTGTAGCCAAATAAATAAATAATAAGTAAATAAATGTTTCCTTTGGAACCAACCTCAGGGGCACTGGACACACAGGCAGACAGTACAGCCATGACACATAACGTAAAAATAAAGGTTAAAAAACAAGACAAAACACTTAAAGAAAGAAAAGGAGTTAACAGCTTCAGCTGTGTAAGGCGCATTTTAACAGCTCAGCATCCTCCCGTGGGGGCTGAGTGCCACAGTGTGAGGAGTCAGGGAAGCAGCCCGTCCATCACCACGGAGACTCTTCCAGATCAGTATTGCCCTCACAGCTCTCACGGCCCAGAAGGGCTGCCGCGGAATCAAACGTCAAGAAAGTTGTGAAGGGCAGCCTGACGGTAAAACAACATTTATTCCTGTCATCAAACACAGAGAAGTAGACATGGCGCCCCCCCCCCCAGGAAGCGTCATTCCTGCTGACGACCATTCACAGTGCTGGAAGGTGCTCCCGTTTTTTCCTGTTTTGTTTTTCTGAGACAGGGTTTCTCTATATAGCCTTGGCTGTTCTGGACTCACTTTGTAGACCCGGCTGGCCTCGAACTCACAGACATCCGCCTGCCTCTGCCTCCCTGTGCGCTGGGATTACAGGCGTGCGCCACCATGTCTGGCAGCAGTTGCTCTGCATGGCACGGGAGGGGAAAGTTAATCAACAATATCACTCAGCTACAACCCTTCGACCTACAACACCGGCTTTCCTGAAACAGACGCTAGTGTGATAGTGGCGCATATATTATGGGAGTAATCAATCACTTTTTGATTGGACGTAAGGCCCAGTCCATGAGATAGAGCCCATACCTGGACGCCGCAAAAACGGCCAAGAACCTGAGACTAGAGAGGTCAAGGGCCTAGAGGAAAAGCTAATACTATCATTCTACTAAAGAAACATGGCGATAAAAATCACTCCTAAAGACATGTACCCAGAGATCGCTGCCTTGATTAACTCTCATCAAAGAAGCTTTGTCTTGCAGTAGTTGGCATTTAACACAAATGCCCACAACTGGACAATGTGCAGAGAGTGAGATCCTTTGGAACACTCAGCCCTAACTGGGATGACTTCTTCAAACTCCTCTCCTCAAGGCTACAGAGGTAGATGCAGAAAAGGAAGCAGAAAGATTGCCAGAGCAAGGTGACAGGTGATATCGAGGAAAGAATGTCTTCCCAGCACAGTAGCCTTGATGCAGGTATTCGTTTACAGAGCCTGTGGCAGCACATGCAGAGAGGCTCACAACAACCTCTACCTTCTGCTCGAGGGGATCCGGTGCCTTCTTCTCACCAGGCATGCACCCGCTGTGCATGCCTACATGCCTACATGCGGGCTAAACAATCATACACATAAAATAAAAAATGAAAAAAGAGTCAGCTGTGGTGGTACAGCCTTTAATCCCAGCACTCAGGAGGTAGAGGCAGGCAGATCTCTGTGAGTCTGAGGCCAGCCTGGTCTACAGAGTTCGTTCCAGGACAGCCAGAGCTGCCTAAAAGGACCCTGTCTCAAACAAACAAACAAACAAACAAACAAATAAACAAAAGGAATGAGCTAGAGAAATGGCTCAGAGGTTGAGAGCACTTCCAGAGGAAAATGTTTTTATTACATATTCTTCAACAACACAAATTATAATTTCTCTTTCCAATTACTAGCTGAACAATGACAACCTGGATGTAAAGAAAAACAAAGCCAGCTGCTGCTTGTCTGTGTGAGTTTACAACACTGGGAAAGAGAGGCTGAAGGGATGGAAAATATTTGGGAGCAAACAGAAAATAAAAGAAATCAGCATGCTGACTCTACATGCTGAAATAAAGCAGAAGTTTGTTGTATGTGAAACACTAAACTAGTTCATCAAGAAGATTGCAAAAATAGTAAAGAGAAAGAATATCCAAATTAATAGAAAATGGGGGTGAGATGACTAGGACAAAGGCTACGTGACTGTACTCACATGTAACAGCAAAACAGGTTCACAGCGACTGAAGATTGACCGGTGATTGCTGCGGTTCGGGAACTGAAAGCAGGATGGTAGAGCTGCCTGTGGCACAGGGGGGCAGGAAGGGCTGTGAACCTAGCGAGCGCAAACTTCAGGTCTGTGAGATGGAGAGCCCTGGAGATGGTGTCGGGGCGAGCAATGCATTTCCCTCAACGCAGCCCAACCCCCACTGCAAACAGGTGATGCTGAATTATGTTACATATGGTTTTCCAAAGTAAGAAAAAATAGTCACTGTCTATACTCCCTTCTCTGGTAGT